ATATTTTATGCTAAGCACTTGCCTTACTGCCTTTGTTACTGTAGCTTAGTCCATGTAAATGTGACCTTTGACAACATCAATATAAAAACAAAGATTTGCCGATCTATCGTTGAATCGTACATGAGAGGAAGAGTAGTAATGATCAATGACTTCCCTGTTGAGTAATGTCTACTCAACCACTGGTGTTATTGTCGGTGTGTGTGTGTGTGTGCGCGCGCGTGCGTGCGTGTGTGTGCAGACCTTGATGACGTGATGTGATCGTCCCAGTACAGGACTCTGTAAAAGGTTTCTGCTGACAGGCAGGCAGAGGACAGCATGTCATCCAAGTGCTTCAACCTGGAGAAGACAGAAAACATGAGCACTCACAAACACAGTAGTAACATCAACCCATACGTGAAGAAACAGCATGTACAAATGTCCCATGGATATATAACATGTAGGAACAAGAGACAGTTTCTTCCAAAAAGAGTAGTAGAGAAAGGTTTATTGATTGGGGACCCATTTTTTAAACGGCTTTGCAAATGTTCTATGACATAAGAAATGGATAAACCAAATGTGTAAGGCCTCAAGGATATTCATTATTATTATTGTGAAGGGAAAAAAAAGGGTTCAAGGAATACTTTACAGAGTTCCTAAGCATTTATAACGCTATAACAAACAAGCTGAACTGATAAGTACATTTTATGGTTTAACAGAAAATAAATAGGCAAATGTATGATAAACTTAAAGTAGTTTAATTACTGTTATTGTTTTGAAAGCAAAAATACCAAAAAAGCTTCTTAAAGATAATACTGTAAATGGTATTAACTTTGTATTATGCGCTAGTAAACTGAATATGTTTGGGGTTTTAGGCTGCTAACATCTAAGAAAAATAAAACTCAAGATTTTCTTTTTTTAGAAGATGAATCTGTGATGAATATAATCCTAAGTAATTAGCCTTGCAGGACATAACCCCCCCCCCTCCCCTGCAGCCTTACAGGTCTTTGACTTCCAGCATGGCCTCCTGTTTGGTGAGGTGCACCGTCTGCAGGTCCCTGCGGTGCACGGCGTGATAGCGCATCTTGTGGAGCTCTGAATCTGAAGCTCTGCCCCCACACCTGTCCTGCAGGTAACCCAGGGCAGCAGGCAGCGCCACGGACACCACGCCCACTGTGATCCAGCCCACTGAGGCCAGAGAAGCAGACACAACAGCGGGTTAATAAATAATTCACAAGTCTTTTAAAGGTCCCCTATTATACTGTTTGTCATTGATATATTATAGGTCGCACATATAAACAAAACATGTCTCTGAAGTGTTTGGCTCCAAACACCAAACAGATCATTGCAGCATCCCATCAACCCCTCTGTTTCAGCCCTGTTTCAAAAGAGCTGATTCTCTGTCTGTTACTTTAGATGAAAATAAGGAGCCACTCCCCACGCCCCTCTGAGAGAGATTTGGTTAAAAAGAACACAATGGTGCTCTAGGAGGAGATTCAAGTGATAAGGTGGGGGGGCGGGGGGGTTACCTTGGTTGGTGATTGGCTAATGGTTACATGCTTATGACATCATAAAGTGGACAAAATCTGATCAGCTCATTTTTAGGCAGGTTTTTATATAAATGGATCGGGACAAAAACAGAGAGAATCTTTGTTCCTGAAACTTTCAGAGACTCTTTCCACAGAGGGGACACATGGTGATGTAGAAGAGACATGAAAAAGTGGATTTTGCACAATGGGTGACCTTTAAATCACCAAGCAAAAGCTTAATCAATATTAGCACCGAATGCCTCATCTTACCTTCAGTAATAGTGCAGAAGAAGACATTTAGGAACAAACAGACAAAAAGAGAGCACAGGGGCATCTTCCATCTGAGGGATACAAAAGGCAGATATTGAGTTTAAAATGTTCTTCCTGCTGCTCATGGGGGAAAGCGATTTGTTATGCTCAAATAGGCTACACACACACACACACACACACACACACATACACACATACACACCCGAGCAGGAAGCGGGTCACCTCCACAGCATCTGCAGCTGGTTCTAGAAACAGAGCCATCCTCTTATAGGACACAACCATGTTGAGGAGGTCAAAGTTCTGCGTGCACCGTGGGCTCCCCAACTCAGAGGCATCTGGAGACCCGGGGGTCTCTTTGGATAGAGTGTGTGCCATCTCCCCCCCTTCCCCTGCACCACGTGAGGGGTCCTGGGACACACCCTGCATCGTCTGTACACAGTGAGGAAAAGAAGGCAGGGTTCAGAGGGTGAATTGACAGAGAGAAAGGCAACAAGATTCCTGGCTAGCTAATGTCACAGCCTGCTAAAGACACATGTCCCTGTTCGGGCTCAATGAGAAGAGGAAAATAGAGATTGAAACAGTCTTTTCTTTGGGAAGGAGTGTGGCGGCATCAAGCCTTGTTTAAAGACCTCTCAAGTCACACTCAAAACTCAATTAAAATAACAGGTCAATTTGGTTTCTCACAGGCCATTGAGACTAAAACATTTGATTGCCTGAATAAAAAACAACTTTTGAGGAATATTTGCCATCTTTCATTTGATCGGCCACTTGGTGTTGATGTTAAATGTAATCATTGCTCAGTGTGTGCCATCTTGAGTCAACATGTTTCCCTGTCCACAGAGCCTATATGTACCAGGTTGCACAGTCCGGCAGTGTCTCAAACAGTAGGGGCTTGGACTGGGAGCCGTAGAGTTGCTGGTTCAAGTCCCCGACCAGACCTAAATATGGAGTGTGGACTGCTACTTGGAGAGGTCCCAGTTCACCTCCTGGGCCCTGCCGTGGTGCCCTTGAGCAAGGCACCGGACACCCCCCCCCTCACTCCCATTGCTTCCCGGGCGCTGTACAATAGCTGCCCACTGATCCTAGTACTAGACTCTACTGGGTTAAAAGCAGAGGACACATGTCACTGTGTGTGCTGTGTGCTCTGCATGTGTGACCATTAGAGAGGGTTTCATTCTATTGTGTGCAAGCTTCTGACGTGCCATATCCTCCTGCATTTCTTTGACCGTTTGCTCTGGCTGCAATAAATATGAATGAATACCCAAGGCAGCCACAACTGTAAAATGTATCATTGGTACACTGATATTTTGGGATGTAATTTTCGCGGTTGGAAACCTACATAGTAACAAGTCAAGCCATCTTGAAACAGGTTTAGGAAGTTCTGTTTTGGAGCTGCAATTGGAGAATGCCCCCTGACTAACCTGAGGTAAAGACTTGAAATCCTGTAACCTGTAATGGTATGTAGTTCCTTCTTGTCTCCAACTACGTTAAAGTTACCTCAAATAACAGCAGTGGCTAATGGAAAAAAACAGATGTTCCAGCTGCACACTCATCAATATAGCACGTACTGAGGAATGTATTGCTTCATTAGGCTATATTTTTCATCAACACTGATTTGGACATCTACACAAGTGGTGGCCCTTTTTCCCTTGAACAGAATGTTGTAGCAGTGATGTTGAAGTGTTCTCCAGGCAGGGTGTGTTAGGTAGGGCTACAGGTGCAACACAGGCCGTGGTGGCATACTGCTCATTACACAAAAGCAAGACTATAGAAACATGCTGAAATAGAGTGCATGCAGCATACTATGTGTAGGAATGATGTTAAATGAAGCTAATAATCTAACAACAGCAAAGGTCGGAGATTCTGTGGTTACGTTTTTTCACAGCTTGAATGTGTCAGCTTGGAGACACAAAGCATTAAACTGTCAATTTATGCATGCTAATTTTCAACTTTGTACTGATTATTGTGCTGCTGCAACACTAGAATTACCCCTTTGGAAATCAATAAAGGCTAATCTTATCCCTTTTAGCATTTAACACAAGTATTCAGAACTTTTTACGACAAACATGTATACATATACAGCATATGTAAAGTACACTCCATCCCTAGCCATCTCTCTTTTGGTGATATAGGTGACCGTGTGCAGCTCTCAGTGCTGCTGTGGCCTGTCAGATGCTGTCAGACAGGAATGTTTACTTGGCTCACTGACAGAATAATAATAGAGATATTATTGTAGGTGCAGCCCAGTCGATTTAGGAAGCTAAAATGACATACCGAGTGTCCGACAGCAGCCTGTGAAGCAGCAGCTGAGCTCAGGCGGAACTAGCGAGTCCCACCGACATCTTCAGCCCGGAGGAAGGAAGCTCTTCGCCGTTCATGACAGCAGCCTGCCTTCCTGCATGAACATGAACCTGTCAAAACGAGGCGAATAGTTTAACTGTCCGTTGACGGGTAACGCAGGTAGTTTGTTTTGCTGCTTATCCTTGCTGGCTTTGTTATCTCCTTCCTGTTCCCTCAGTACGTCCGCTTCCTTGTTTAATCCAGGCCCGAGTAATCGATGGCAGAAAAGACGCATATGTGCAAAGCAATCGATCATAGAGTAACATTATTTTTGGATGCAGAGCCCTACAGTCTATGATGCAGAGTTTACCTCAATATTTTCATTACTAAAACATCTCTGTTTTAACTAAAGACGGTATACCTATGAGTTTAACTGGTTTGAGCTTTCCTAAAATCACACATTGTACAAGCTCCTTTTAGTGGTCAGGACGTAAATAAAGTGTATGTTGGAAAAATAAATCAAAATGGCTATCCAGTCAGTGAACCTTCGTAGAAATTGTTTTTATTCTGATCATTTGACAAATTAGTTATGTAAAAAGGCCAGAAGAAAAAAAAAGTGTAGCAGTCCCATTACATGAAGGAAAGATACATGCATCTGATATAGTATATATGTTTTTATTACAATTAGGCTACTCCAGAAGCAAGAAGTATTAATATGCAAATGTTTGTTCATTTTCAAAAGTTTAACTAAACGATATTAAATGTCCCCTATTCCCATATATGTCCCTTTATACTGCAGTTTCAACATCAATTTGCTTATTGGACCATGATTGGCTTTCTAGCTGTGATGTTATAAAATATGTATGTACGTATGTGTACATGTACCTTAAACTCAAATTGAATGGGAGTACAGAGAACCTGGAATGTAACAACGAGCAAATCCCATTTCTGAGCTGAAGTAGACTTAATTTATTAGCAATATAATGCCTTGTTAAAGGAGTTAGGCAGTTTCATAGTAACACAGCTTGAGGACACTTCAACATGGCAGAGAGGAAAGTTGTCATTGACGGAGAGAAACACATTCCAACAGAGCAGAAAGTAATTCACCTGACAGTTTAGCTGTGATAAAGGGTAGAGTTTACAATTTAGAGATTTGGAGCTCTGTTTTCATACCTATGCAAATCAAACCTTCAACTTAGAGAGATTCTCCGTGAGGGAAAGAGACATTTGATTATGCAGGTTTTAGGAATCCTTGTTTCTGACTGAGTATGTTTTGTGAGTTGAACATGTGTTGCATTTGGGTTAATGTCAATTATAAGTAATAATGGAAAATGTGACCCTCTGTCTGAACACCTGCATAACTCACATTTACCAACAACCATATATTTAAAAACAAGATTGTGATTACACAGTTTGTGATATTTTTCACCCTCTCCTGGCAGTCTGAGTGTCTACGACTCCAAAGATGCTATTTTTTTACTTGACCTTGATACATCTCATGCCATTCGTGGCTTGAATATACTTTCTACCTCTGCTTAAAATCAAATCTTGAATTTGAATTGGTGTCCATAGTTTCCATGAAATTATATCAAGAGACATCAGTGAAAAAAACAACTTTAAAAACAATACTTGTTATTAAAAAAGAAAAAAAGATTATTTAATAACTCTCATGAAACAAGTTGAGTAGAGTTACACTGAAAGGTTCCAAACACTTCATATCAATAAGTGTCTACTGAGCCATCATACGCAGTTGTGGCTGATTGCACTGCTACATTTTCAATACATTGTATTTCTACTCGTTATTTTTCTACAAATGAGAAGACACTGATTTGTTGAACATCACTGAAAATACAGCTAATCGTTTTTGTTTCAGTCAAAGAATAATCTATGGCTTGAATTCAATATGATACACTTGACAGTTCCTATCAATTAAACTGATCCTATTTTCTGGTTGAGAGCTCTTTAAAAAAAAAAAAGGGATCTCAGAGGTAAGACCTGTTAGATAAAGTTTTGACTAATGATGATACAAATGTCACCCAGGTTTCAGTTAAGACTAAATATGTGTGCCGTAAAGTATCTTTTCACTTTTGCACAAAAATGATTTGACCATTTAAAAATGGCTTTGTCCATGAATCTAAAAAAACTACTGTAGTTGCTTGCTATGTGATCGCTGGTGGAATTTAAGCCCCCCCACAGTTCCTGAAGGACTTCCCACACTGTCCGCAGATGTAAGGCTTCTCTCCTGTGTGGATGCGGAAATGCCTGGTTAACGCCCCGGAGTGACGGAAACACTTGGAGCAAACCGAGCATTTGTACGGCATCTCTCCTGTGTGGATGCGAAGGTGAGTCTTGAGGTTCTCCAAGCGGTTGAACTCTCGATTGCACTCAGTGCAGCGGAAGGGGCTGCAGCCCGGGGGGAAAAGCTGCAGTTTGGGCCTCTTGTCTATATCTACCGGCGGATAGCAGTGCTGAAGCCTCTGCTGGCACTGGCTGTGGTGCCGCCTCAGCAGGCTGGGCAGGGGGAACGACTGGCCGCAGGACTTGCAGGCGCAGAGGTTGGTGGCGGAGTGGCCGAGGTTGCGACTATTCCTCCTGTGGACATAACCCTGTGGGGGGGCTTCTGGGATGGGAGCTGGTTCTGCCAGAGGGAAGATGTTTGGTAACTCTGTGGAGAGAGATGCTAAGAGATTAGTGGTCATATGAGTTTCAAACTTTTTTATTCACTTTAATGACATTTATATTTAAAAACTAACTTTTCCAGTCAGAGATAATAAGTGTCCACTTTTTTTCTATAAAATTAGCCATAAGAATACTCAAATGCATTAGTTTGAGTCTATAATTTATCCCACAGTTTTATCCCACAGGCCATAAGATTACTTAACGTCTGAGCTTGCACTATTTTTATTCCTATTATTTTATGTCTTGTAATTGCATTAAGGAACCTGTGACCAACGTTTTGAATTCGTATAAACAACTACACTGTGGTTGTTTTGAAGTCTAAATGCCAAATTTGAAGTCTAATTGCTGACCTTTAGCAATTGATTGCACGAAGATGATGCGGTCTAAATTGTCACATGAATATAATGCAAACTGGCTGATAACATAATGTTTGTAGAACTCATCCATTCTACAAAGGCAGTAAATAATAAGGCAGAAGTCTAAATGGCCGTCAAATTAAACATCGGTATGGGTATATCTTTTATTTTAAATGCACTTACAGTAAGGTCGAAAAACTGTGTTAAAGGAAAAACAAAAAGATAAAGAATATAATAACAAAATATATATCTCATATCTGAAGAGTTGGTCCCACAGGTAGAAAAATGAAAATGTTGTGGTGTATTCTGCGCTAATTGTTTTTCTTCTTACCCTGAGCCAGTCTGGTGCAGGACAGAGGAGCGTTTGATTCGTCGATCTGTCCCTCCAGCACTTCTGGTTTACACTCCACCAGCATTTCAGCCTGGATTGCTGACATGCAGTCCGGGGTGAAATCCTCCACTTTCATCGAGTCCAAACAGAAGGCTGAATCGTCTTCCCCTCTTCTAGGATCTCCTGCTTTATTGTCACATTGTCTAAACTAGACTCTTCATCCACACTGGGAAATAGTGGCGAGTAATGAGCTGTTTGTTCTCGGCATGGCTGGTTGATACTTTCTACCCTTACCAGACGGGAGATCTCATCACTGACTTCTGTAAACAAGAAGATCACAGGGTACCATCAGTGAGCAAAATAACATTAGACATGTTACTGTGTTATTTACTTGAGCACAATTTGTAAACTCTTAAAATGTTCTAATAAAAAGTTTGATTTTTATAGATTACAGATTTTTGATATTTACATTTTGTTTGAAAGGCATCAGAGTACATGCAACGTTTAGACGCTGCATTCTCTTGGTAACAAATTAACCAAAATTATACTAAAAAACATTTGTATTTTAAAGATGGTATATATATGAATTACTTAAACTAATGTGACCCACATTTAATTTACCCACAGTAAACACACAATTACTTTTACTCAATTCAAGGCATTTAGGACAGCCATTTGAGTTTTAAAAAAGAAATAAAGGGCAGGTAATTAATGAGCCAATGATTACAGTTCTAAACAAATGTTATTGTACCTAATATATAGTCATTATACATTTCAACTTTGACCTGCAAACGCATGTGATTACAATTTAGCAAACAAGATTCTGATAAATAATATATTTAAAAAAAATGTTTGAACAAAATCCACTATTATCTGTGGTGCCTTTTCTAATTGTCTTCTGTGATGTTTACTTTCACACTAAAACAGTAAGAGTTGGACAGGGTCAGTGAGTGTGTTACTATGGTAACGCAAAAAAGCTGAGAGCACATTTCCAATACGGTCTAAAGCCGAGTTAATAAACGCAAAAACAGAACTGGTCCATCTATTTTCTCAAAACCTCTACAAAGTATTACATTTATAAATAAGTGAATTCCTCATGATGGCAGCTTTAGTCCTTGATACACTTACTTAATTTAGCACATTTATTTGATAGAGGCTTTGATTCTTTTTTATTAATATTTGATTGATTATAATGTTCATGTCATACCACAAAATTAGTTAAAAAAAAGGTCAGTCCCATGTGAACATACAACATATTTTCTGTGTCACATCATGTTAGGTGATCATGTTCTACTTTACCTATACAGGTAGAGTGGTAGGAAATGAAAAACAAACAGGAAATGAAAGCAGCTACCTACCTTCAGTAAAGGCAAGCAGGCAGGCAACAGCTCCTCCATCATCTGCTCTCTCTGAGGCTGCTTCACTGACATGCTGAGTGTTTGAGTCACCTGATCTCTGCTCCTCGTGTGTTGACTGGGGGTCAGGGAGCTGGTGTACACGGCTGTGAGTCTGACCTACTACAGGAGCATGATCTTTGACCCCAGTGCCACTAAACACGATGTCCACATTGGGATTAGAGCTTTTCTGGTTGCATTTCAGTTGAGGTGGTTGATCTGTGCGGCTTGTGGCGTTCAAATGCTGCTTGATACGAGGAGAGCTAGCACCTCTTTCCTCCAGCTTAGCTTCAGCTCTCTGCAGTCTTTGTTTGAGTGACTCATTCTCTCGTTGTATCTCCACATAGGCATCTCCTGTGGCCTCACTTACGAGCTTTGTCACCTCTCGAACTGCGATTTCCACAGCCACTTCAAACGCGCCATGTATGGCTGCCACAAGCTCCTGTTGCAGAGACAGAGCCGCCTCGGATCCGGCTGCTTTCAGGCGCTTCTTGGCCCCTGCCAGCTGAGGCTTCATGGTGCATTCAAAGGCAGTTTAACCCGGTGCAGGGAAGTTGTTTTATTAGGAAAATCTCCTTTCGGATCACTCGATTTCTCAGCTGTAGATTCCTTGTGGCGATACCTCCTGTTTGTGAGCATCCACTTCCGCCGACAGCTTCTGACACCTACTGGTGCAGAGGCGCAACTGCACCAGACACACACAGCCCCCACCCCCACACAGGCACGTGCATAAGATGTTAGGGGGGCACGGGCCCAAATTCAAAAAAGGAACCCTGGCGATTTCTGTTACTTTTATATAAATCTTTTCCTGGAATAGCAAATGTTGTGACAGTTTTAATGCATATTAAAAATATATGTATTCATATATATACATTAATACATTGGAGATGTACGGTGGCCGGCGGGTGCAAACGCTGAACAACGGCCAAAAACGCATACATAAGCAGGAAACACCTGCAAATAATGAAATAAAAAACAAACAAACCCTGAAAACAAATACAACAACAAAACGCTGCATTTACAGAAATTATGCAAAGTCAAAAACACATACAAACCCATAAACACATACAAAAAAAAAACATACCGGAAGTGCTCCGCCTCCAGGCCTCTAGGGGGCGCGCTACGTGGAACAGATTGATGTCTGACCAGACCATGGATGTATAATAAGAAGGACCAGACAGGGGGTGTTTGTCAATGTCGAGGAAGGCTGCTCCAGAGCCACTATTTCAAGCACACTACGTCATTGAGTGCCGCCGAAGGACTGTTCCAATGTCCAGCATACTTGGAATTCTACCGAGGCCGGCGTACTTGGTAGCGAGACATTTCGAGGCTGCACATGTGTAGACTCCGCGGTCTTAAAATCCCCACAATGCTTTGCGCACGGACCAATTTTCAAATCTTTGGCGGAAATCGCCCTCCATTTAAGGCGGGGCCTCACACCTGTTAACCTGTTCCACAATTCTTCGTTTTCCGAGGCTAGGAAGGATTCTTGCCTCGCTTCTGAAGCAAGTGACTCGGAGGTACATGTGCTACCAAGCAAGCGTCCTCGACATTGAGAAACACCCAGAGAGAACGAACAAGTGATGGAAATCGAAGCCGGAGGAAAGAAAGTCGATATATAAGGTACGTTTTGTTTTGATACAAAGAGCGTCATATTTACGCAGCTAGCGTTAGCTTGTTTGGTAAAAGAGCTTGCAAGAGACAGCATTGTGCACCTAAATGTAACTCTTGATATCATATAGATATAGGTGCTACGAGAGGAGTTGGTTTATTGTGCCCCAATGTAAATCCTAATGAGAGAGTTAAAAGGACGGTCAACAATATAATGTACAAATGTTGTGTTTCGATGTAATACTTTGTGATTTATGTCAATGTAATAATTCAGGATTCAAACCAACATTTGATGATAGGTAGTTAGGTACAGACGGAGGGGAATAATTATTTTAAATGACGCTTTTTTCTTAGGTTACACTGGAACATCTTCAAGTGAAGAGGATAGTGTGGTCCATGTCAATTTGCCATCTGGAGACAGTCCCCTTTCTGACACTGTGAGGCTGACAAGTGAGCGGCCCAACCAAGTAAGGAGGCAGAGGCAGAACGTCCTGATACAACCCGGTGTGGGAATGTATTCATCATTCGTGGTTGACAACATCAATATCCCCATATGACTGTCTCCAACACTATCCCTCTCCTCAATGAGCCTAACATGCCACCCTTTATAGCAGGGGTGGGGAACCTCCGGCCCCCGGGCCGTATACGGCCCGCGAGACCATTTGGTGTGGCCCTCGAGGTAATTTATAAACACACGCAAAAAAGAAAAAAATTAAAGAAATCTAGACCGCAAAATAATTAAACAAGTGAGTGCCTGTTTTTCCTGGCCAAGGTCAGGGTCCTTGAACACAACACAAGCCTAACGTGTCGTCACGTGGTATATGTCTCGTCTGACAGGAGTGTTGTTCGGGGAGCACCAGAACGCATCTCCGCTCCGGCACTTCCAAAAATGGCAGTAGCCATAAGGAGCTGTACACATGCTGCAGTTTTTGCGTGGCTGTGTCTTAGTTGTAAGCCCAGTGGCGATCTGTTCATCTGTCATACTGATCATACAGTCAATAACTTTGTTGTTATTAGCATCTGGTTAGCTAGCTATGCTAACGAATATAAGAAGCTTTTTTTACAACCAGTGAGGTAAAGGCACATCTTTATATGATCATTATAGTTGTAAAAAAATAAGAGAATAAAGTAAACAGGTATAAAATACTATATGACAGTAAAAAAAGTTGAAATGGCCCTTGAGAGGAAAAAGGTTCCCCACCCCTGCTTTATAGGCCCATCAATTGGACCGTACCATCAAAAGGGGTGGCATGTGCAGAGATGGTTACCTCAGATAAGGAAACCAGTTAAATAACAATAAACATTTAGTTGAGAATAACAAACATCCATTAATTAAATTATACCTAATTAATGTATGAAAAGAAAAATATTATAAACCAACAAGATCAATGTACATGATATAAAACCACCCCTGCCTCCATCCTGCTCTTTTAACCCCAATCCGAAACGATAAAAGAGGGTTCGCCGTTTCCCCGGGGACTCTTTACGGCAGGGGTGGGGAACCTTTTTCCTCTCAAGGGCCATTTCAATGTTTTCAACATCCTCCGAGGGCTGTACAAATTATTGACCTCTGCTTAAAAATACTAAAATCACAGCCCACTCATTTCACCTTTCTTTCATGTTGTGCAAAGAAAAAGCAACCTCTTAATCCAGATATTTTACCATGACTCGCACATGCACGGTTGTAGCATGACCACCAAAACAGAAAGATATGGACACAAGATGTGTGCAAATGTATTTAGTTTCCTATCCATGTGAACATTATTTAAGTGGGGGGGACCTAACCTCCTCTAGGGGGCATGCTCCCCCGGGAAGATTTATTTTTAAATGTTCTTTAAATCTGGTGCACTTTGAGAGCAACATTAGATCTATGGATCATACATCTCTCAACACCCATATGAAACATAACTGTAAGCAGATTTTTGTTTTCTTTATGGATATTTTACAAATCACTCCCCTTTCAAACTGTATTCTTGTTTATTAATAACAACTTTTTTTACTGTCATATAGTATTTTATACCTGTTTACTTTATTCTCTTATTTTTTTATAACTATAATGATCATATAAAGATGTGCCTTTACCTCACTGGTTGTAAAAAAAGCTTCTTATATTCGTTAGCATAGCTAGCTAACCAGATGCTAATAACAACAAAGTTATTGACTGTATGATCAGTATGACAGATGAACAGATCGCCACTGGGCTTACAACTAAGACACAGCCACGCAAAAACTGCAGCATGTGTACAGCTCCTTATGGCTACTGCCATTTTTGGAAGTGCCGGAGCGGAGCTGCGTTCTGGTGCTCCCCGAACTACACTCCTGTCAGACGAGACATATACCACGTGACGACACGTTAGGCTTGTGTTGTGTTCAAGGACCCTGACCTTGGCCAGGAAAAACAGGCACTCACTTGTTTAATTATTTTGCGGTCTAGATTTCTTTAATTTTTTTCTTTTTTGCGTGTGTTTATAAATTACCTCGAGGGCCACACCAAATGGTCTCGCGGGCCGTATACGGCCCGGGGGCCCCCCACCCCTGCTTTACGGTGACGGACCCTGGGAATGGAGACGGGAAGGCCCAATCCCAAACCGCCCCCTACACCCTGCCCCCTGCCCCCTACACTAGTGATGGCAAAATGAAGCTTTGAATGAAGCGTCGAACCACTTGGACAATTGTGTCGGAAATAGGTTCATTTCTCGAAGCTTCAGTTACAGCGACCTCTCCTGGCGAAGTGCAAGGCTGCAGTGGGTTTAACGTATCTTTGCCTTGAAAAATATTCGATGCACACACACACACAAAGACTGAATATCATGTTCTATTTGCAATTAAAGATTGATAATTGTGTGTATTGGGTTATTGAGAAGAGACTAGAGAGTGCTAGACATGTTTTTGGGCGGAGAGGGCCTTTTATCAGTTATTAAAGTTGAAAAGCAATGATTAAAATACGTCCATTCCGGGATTTGAACCAGCTGCGCGGAGGACATCGCCGCATTCGGGCCGCCGGCTCTACCCACTGGACTATCTATTCCTTGAAATATTTAACTGTTTTCATATTACTGATAATTGTCTTTTTGTTCACAACTTCTCCACATTTCGAAGTGTTTCCCGAGCCAGAACGACCTATCTTACTTCCTGGCTTGCTCTAAAATGATATCAAATGCAATAACAACAACAACTCAACAGCAACAACGCAAATGACGACAACAACCCACACATTGTGCATTGTTTAGAGCGGTCATAAAGTGTTGAAGCACTCAAGTTTGAAACTGTTTCAACCTGTCACCTGTCCGAATCGAGACGAGGCAGTGCATTGAATCGCGTGAATGGACCGTGAACCAGTCAAGTGATTCATTCAGGAAATGAAGCAGTTGCTGCTTCGGACGTCACATGTCACGTGATTTGAAGCAGTTGCTGCTTCGGACGTCATATGTCACGTGATTTGAAGCAAGCTTCGAAGCACTGCTTCTATGGAATAGGAAGTCCAGGGTTGAAGCTCCGTTCGAAGCTTCAGTGTCAAACTGCCATCACTACCCTACACACTACCCCTCCGTTTGCGCGTTTACAGCTCCTAAAGCATAAACACGCTGTTTACAAGTAGTTCCAGCAAACATCCACTGATAAATTGCGATGTTAACAACCT